AAGGAGTGACATTGGAGATGGAGGGGATGCCATGACTGGGCCAAACAAAATCCATCCCAGAGAAGAGCTAGGCTTATGGAATCTCAGGTAGCAGTAGCAGTGATGAGGATGATACAGTGGTACCTCGGTTTACAAACTTAATTTTTTCCAGAACAGGTACCACTGTAGTAATAATAATAATTTTTTGTAATGGCTTGGCTCTCCCACAGAAGCGAGACACCGGCAGTAATTATCTCGGGTTTATTGCTCAAACACATAAATCACTCCGGAGCTCTTTCACTCCATGTCTGACTTCCAAGTTTGCAGTTGCCAAGTCTAAACTCCGCCCCTTCCTCTTCTTCCAAGAGGGGGAAAAACCCTTTCGCTTCCGCTCTTTCCCCTCCGCTCACTGACCTTTTCGCGCCTTCGAGTTTTGGGGCTAGCTATTCCTGGCCTCTCCCCTTCTGACTCTGAGCTAAGATTGGTATTTTGTGGATCTTTGCTATCTGCTGCCTGCTCTCTGTTCTCTGAAGCTCTGCCACTCGGCTGCCCCTCCTCCCTCTCACATTCCAGTGTCCTTATTTCTCTTTGCCTGCTTTCATACATTCCAGCCTCTGTAAGCTCCGGAACAAAGCTGACATTTTTATTTCTACCCTGCCCGTCTGGCTGGGTTGCCCCAGCCACTCTGGGCGGCTTCCAACACATATATAAACATGAAACATGAATAATAATATTCTGATGCCATATAAAAAGAACATTAACTTAAAATGAGCAACTTATACTGGTGGCCAAAATTGTGGAAACCTTTTGTGAAAAGTGTATTTCTGAGGTTTGATGGCTCATAACACCACTTTTGTGTGGAGTAATACCATAAAATTATATATCTATGGAAAGATAATTTAATGAAGAATGTAATGTAATGACTTTTATGAAGGAGTATTTATTGGAACAGCAGTCATAAAGAAAAAACGTGAAACTTTTGGTAACCATTGGTAACCTTTAGCTTTAATTACAGCCTTACAACGCTTTCCCATGAAGTGAACCAAATTTTTAGTTCTGCAGCTGTAAGAATGTGAAACCAAGATTGAATTATTGCCTCTGTTAATTGGGCTTTATTGCTGGGTTGCCTCTGATTAACAAGTTTCTTTAGTCAGCTCCATAGATTTCTGATTGGGTTAATGTTTGGGCTATTCCCAAGCCATTCTGGCAGTGGAATAGGATTATCTTGAAAGCAGCTTTTTCACACAGCAGCAACAGGACATGGCGCTGAGTCCTGTTGAAATAGAAAATAAATATATAAGTAGGAGGGGGCCGCTAGGGGCGCCTTGGAAGATGGCAGATATTAACATCTATCCAGCTCGCACGAGGTAATTAGAGGCTGATTATGGGGAGTAAATCAGTCTCCCTCATCTCTCCAGGGGGGAGAGATGCAGTTTTCACCCGCTGTTGCCATAAATCACCCCCCAGTTCGGAAGAAGAAGGGGGTGAGGCACTGGGTGCACAACCCTCGGCGGGCCTCGGAACTCCTCCGAAGCTACTTCCAGGAGCGAAACTAGTTGTGTTACTTAAAAGGGGGGAAAAATGGTGAAAGATAACGCACAGGCTTCAAGAGAGGCAGGAGATTTTTATCTGCTAACAATTTTACCACTGAAATGAAGAAGACTGAGACAGAAGATTACATCAAAGAACTACAGCCATGCTGGTATGTGGATTGGAGTGCAACAGAACTAAAGGGGGGGGGAATGACTTTTTATCTTTTTTTGCTCTATGTGATTAACTAATAACCCTCCCTCTTAGAATATCCATCACAGCAACTAATTGGCAAATGGGACTAAAAAGGAACTGTGGGAATAATATGAATTTAAAGGTTTTACTCTGTAAAGGATTTGGAAAGAAGGGCTCTCTTTGTGACGCAGTTAGAATGGAGATTTGATACGAGACCTGTGTTGCAGGAGGTTTGGTCTTGGGGAGGGCGAGCCGAAGATTTATTACTTTCGATGAGATTGTGAACTGGAAGGGGCAGCCCTCCTGGAAAAAGACTAATTTACGATGCAACAGGTCGGGAAAGTTAAAGAGCGAGCTTTTGGACTGTATTTCATCGGAACAACAAGAAGGCGATTGCTTGCTCGAGCGGAAATGCCTGGATTATTGGGATTTACGAGAGAGCAGTACAAAGCCCACACAGAAATACAAACAAGACTGTTTCTTTCAACCCACTTGCGGAGCAATTTGGAGGTGAATGAAAAGGAAAATGAGTAACGACAAGGATTGAGAAGAAGGGACTGGAAATATCATTCTTAATATGAAAGCAGCAGAAAATATTCGAGGATTGGACTCCTGCCGATCAAGAAGCGTGGGTACCCCCCACAAAAATTTATAATTTGGAAAATAATTGGATTACATGATATGTATTGTTATAATTTGGACTAATTGGTTTGATGTGTTTAATTCGGTAATATGAAACTTAATAAAAGATCACCTGCGGAAGGCTTCAGTTTGGGCTAAAGTATTTCATTTTTTATTTGGGGGCATTTCCATTCCCTTTAATGATGAAAATTCTGCCCACACCTTTTGCTGCCATACAACCTCAGATCATCACACTATCTGGGTGTTTCACGGTTGGTGTAACGCAAGTAACATGTAAATCTTCTCTGATTCTTCCCCTTGTGTATTTCATGGCATCACTACCAAGCAAGGAGATTTGGGTCACATCCCTCCAAAAACATTGTCCCATTGTTCCGCATCCAATTAACATGGGTTTAATCTTTTCAACCTTTGCGGGGGGCCACTAGGGGGCGCATAGGAAGATGGCTGACAATAACATCTCTCCGACCCACAGGAGGTAATTTGGAGGCTATGTTGGGAGTAATTAGGCTCCCTACACACTCAAGACGGTGAGTGGGGCCGTTTGCCTGCTGTGCCCGATATCACCCCTGAATTTTTGAGGGGGATGGGGGCATTAGGCACAAAAACCCTCCTGTGGGATCTCGGCACTCCTGGACGCTGTCTCTGACCTGCGCCACTAGCTGCAAGAACTTCAAAAGAAACAATTTGGCACGAAGGAATGCACATGCTTCAGGAAATGAGGAGGAGTGAAGACTGCAACAGAAGAGGTCTCTGGAAAAATAAGATTTAAATTATGAGAAGACACGTCAAGATACGGTATGGCAAAGGACTGAAGGGGGAGGGGGAAAGAGGCAAAAGCCAGAAATGAGGTTTTAAGGACTTAAGCTGTGAATCTAAGGCTGTGTGGAGATAAACTTTCGAACCAAAGCATGTTTCTAGGAGACTGTGGAATGTATAAGAGCTTTGTTCTGACGCAGTCAAAAATCCCGTCGCCATTTTAGGAAGCTCTGTCGGAGGACTAAGTCCGGGAGGAGGAAGAGTGAAAGAGAGCGTTCTTACATCGTGGGAGAAACTCCTCAAAGAGGTCTTAAGAGCGACAGAGCTATAATTTACGAGGGAAAAAGTGATCTTATCTCCGAAGGTGACGATTTATGGGAACCATCTGTAATTGAGGATTGACGACGGGAAATCCACACAGGAGTATTATCAGAGTTTATCGGCTTAAGGAGACCATCAGAAGAGACCATAAAGGACAAAGAGAAAATATATGATTAAGAAGTGATGTGGAAACAGCAAGATAAGATTGGAAAGAACTATGAATATGTGTTTGGACTGTTTGAACATCTATTTGGACTTATTTGGACTGATTTGGACATTAATGCAGAAGTAAGGATTAGATCAGAATCCTTCCTCGGATCTGGAAGTATGGGACCCCCCAACAAAATTTAAAAATTCGGCTCTGTAATTTGGAATTTATGTGATGTGGTTTGATTTGATGTGATTGGCCGGTTAATAAAATTTATTTTTTTTAAAAAAATCTTTTCAACCTTTGCTTGAGAGATTTTCTTTAGTCGTTTAGTCGTGTATGACTCTTTGTGACCCCATGGACCAGAGCACACCAGGTCCTATTGTCTTCCACTGCCTCCCGCAATTTGGTTAAACTCATGCTTGAGAGATAACAATGGCCTTTTCCTTAGAATTCTAACATTTAGAGCAGTCCTTGCACTCAACTTCACATTACATCTCGCCATGTCATCTTGTATACACCAAAATGATTTTCTTCTGTCATGTAGGGACAGTCTCTCTATTCTTCGATCGTCACTTGCCTTTGTGCACCTTTTCCTGCCTTTACCAGTCTGATTTTATAGTTGCTGAGTCTCCTTATACCTCTTCAATAATATCGAAATGCCAGCTTTGGTTCAGTTTTCCCCAATCTTTCATCTAATTTCTTCATAACTGTAGCCCTGTTCACTTAATACTACAATTTTACATTGCTTTCTGGGTGACCAGTCAACTCTTTGTGCCATTTCTATAATTTTATTATGTTTTACAACCTCACTAAATGAAAGAACAAAAAAAAAAAACCCAACTTGACAGCAATCACATAACACACTGACAAAAGTCAACCTAAGCAAGTTGTGCTTCCTTTTTCTGGTTATTTGACTATAACATTTGATAGAATATGGGTAATTGAACAACCTTTGTTGAATTGCAGTCTTGATTAAATTATATTTCCATTGATATATTATTTTATGATATTACTCCAAATGAAGTGGTGTTATAAGCCATCAAAACTCTGAAATACACTTTTTTTCCAAAAGTCTTCCACAATTTTGACCACTACTGTATATCAAACAAACCAACATTCAACAACTCATCAGAACATAATAATAAATATGATGGTTAATGACAAACAACACAGGTAATGAACACAAGCCCAACTTCCTTCAGTTCTTCTCCATTTGTTCCTGAGGCTCTAATCCCTTTTTGTCTCCATTGCAGATTGTGATGAATCGAAAATTGAGAACAAAGGTGACCACGATAAAATCCCCAGAGAGGAGAAGCCGCGTAAAAATTTAGAGTGTGGAGAAAGCTGCAATCAGAACTCCAATTCCACTTCCCATCAACAAAATCTCATTGGAAATAAACTCTATCAGCGCATGGAATGTGGAAAGACCTTCAGCCAGAGCTCTTCTCTCACTTCCCATCAAAGAATTCACACAGGGGAGAAACCCTATCAGTGCGTGGAATGTGGAAAGAGCTTCAGTTGGATCTCCCATCTCACTTCCCATCAAAGAATTCATACAGGGGAAAAACCCTATCAGTGTGTGGAATGTGGAAAGAGCTTCATTCAGAGCTCCTCCCTCACTTCACATCGAAGAATTCATACAGGGGAGAAACCCTATCAGTGTGTTGAATGTGGAAAGAGCTTCAGGAAGAGCTCCGATCTCACTTCACATCGAAGAATTCATACAGGGGAGAAACCCTATCCGTGTGTGGAATGCGGAAAGAGCTTCAGAATGAGCCACGATCTCACTTCCCATAAGAGAATTCATACAGGGGAGAAACCCTATCAGTGTGTGGAATGCGGAAAGAGCTTCAGTCAGATCTCCGGTCTCACTTACCATCAAAGAATTCATACAGGGGAGAAACCCTATCTGTGTGTGGAATGCGGAAAGAGCTTCCGTCAGATCACCAATCTCACTTACCATCAAAGAATTCATACAGGGGAGAAACCCTATCTGTGTGTGGAATGTGGAAAGAGCTTCCCTGAAAGCTCCTCTCTCACTTCCCATCGAAGAATTCATACAGGGGAGAAACCCTATCAGTGTGTGGAATGTGGAAAGAGCTTCCCTGAAAGCTCCTCTCTCATTTCCCATCGAAGAATTCATACAGGGGAGAAACCCTATCAGTGTGTGGAATGCGGAAAGAGCTTCAACCAAAGCTCCTATCTCACTAAGCATCAGAGAATTCATACAGGCGAGAAACCCCATCAGTGTGTGGAATGTGGAAAGAGCTTCACTCAGAGCTCCTATCTCACTAAGCATCAGAGAATTCATACAGGGGAGAAACCCTATCAGTGTGTGGAATGTGGAACGAGCTTCACTCAGAACTCCAAACTCACTTCCCATCAAAGAATTCATACAGGGGAGAAACCATATCAGTGTGTGGAATGTGGAAAGAGCTTCAGTCACAGCCACAATCTCACTTCCCATCAAAGAATTCATACAGGGGAGAAACCATATCAGTGTGTGGAATGTGGAAAAAGCTTCAGTCAGAGGGCCAATCTTACTTCCCATCAAAGAATCCATACAAAGGTTAGAAAAACCATTGTACAGATTTAGGAGCCAGGCAAATCCACACTTTTTTAACCAGGCCTTTGGCTGATTAACATTTAATGCCCTTTTAAAATGTGGTGTTTTGTGTTTTTATTTTGTTTTTTTATGTTGTAACCATCCTGAGACCTGTGGGTGTAGGGAATAGCTGCCAACTTTCTGCACCACCTAGAGTACCCACAGAATTGTGGCTTCTACTGGTAACACACATAGGAGAACAAATGAAAGAGAAACACAAGGGGCAGAAAAAAACCTGGAAAGGGCCATACCAAATGGACACCCGGTGTGAAGAGGTCACTTTCCCCACTGCTGAACAATGCCACAGGTAGAGGAGATGGAATGCTAGGAGTGTACTCCATGGCAAGGGAAGCTGCTGGGAAATTGAACTACGAGCTCAAAATATTACTTTTTAAAAAAGTTGCTGCCATTATAGGCATTACAGGCAGAAAGCTGGAGGGTGAGCAGGCCCAGGCGGTGAAGGGAGTGGGGGTGAAGGGAGAAGGGAGAAGTGAAGAGACTGAAAGCTTTTTCTTCCCGATGCGTTTCCGGTGCAGCTCTGAATTCCACCTGGTCCGGAATTGTCCAGTGGAGCCAAGGATGTCTCCAAGGCCGTTTTCTTTGGCAACCAGATAACAGGAGCTGCCAAGTGTGGGAAGCCTCAAAAGGTCTCAAGGAAACTGGCAGAGACATGTCGTCACAGTATCATTTGGCTGCTGCTATGGCAACAGTGAAAAACTGCGACCAGGGCCACGTGCTGAGCTGGGTGATTGTCAGTGGGGCCAGTCACCACCTCATGTCATCGGTATCTAGTGGTTTTTTGTGGAACTGCAAGGCTGTGAAAACTGGAAGAAGTGTAACTCTTGCAGATGGTTCCAAGCGCTATGTCTGGCTCTGTTTATTGTTCTTTTTTACAGGCGGAGATTGAGGCCTATGTCGTTCCAGAGATGCAGTGCTGTTTGCTTTCTGTTTCCTCTTTTGTCCATGTTGGGTTCAAAGTGTGTTTTGAAAATAATGTTTATTCCATTTCCAGAGGTGGGCGACAACTGGTCAGTGTTGAGTGCAAAGACAGGCTGTTTGTGCTAGAATCGCCTATTGCACGTAAAGGTCCCACTGAGGATGCACAAGCACAGTGTGGTAACCTTCCCATTCATGATGGGTGCCATCATGGCCTTTGGCACCGGAGAATGTCACATATCAACTGGGGGTACGTGAAGAAGGTCCCAGGGTGCACTGAGGGGTGCAAGATGAAGGCATGTGACAAATGCCTGGAATGCAGGGTGCCTTCAAGAAAGCCAAGGTTCAGACGTGCTCTTATCCTAGGTCTGACAGAGTAACCACAAAACCTTTTGAGCTAGTCCATGCAGACCTTTGCAGCCCTATGCCAGTGGCCAGTCTGGGCGGGGCCAAATTTGTGCTATCTCTGGTGGATGATTATTCCAGAAATGGGTGGATTTTCTCTCTGAAGCACAAGTGAGAGGCTGCTGCTTTGGTGAAAGACTGGATAACGGCAGTGAGAACTACTGTTCTTACTGCGGGTCAAGGGCTTTCAATCAGATCGTGGTGGAGAGTTCACCAGGTCTGCGTTGCAGAACTTCTTCTGCCAGAAAGGCATACACCACAGGTTGACTGTAGCAAATTCTCCTCAGGAGAATGGAGTTGCAGAATGCAGGTAGAGAATGCTGCAGGAGGCAACCAAAGCCATGCTCTTTGATACAGGGTTGCCCCAGCGGTTTTGGGTGGAAGCGTGGAAATCCACATCATTCACTCTGAACTGTTCTTACAGTTCTGTAGTAGGGGACACGCCCTATTTTCTGCTGCACAGCAAGAAGCTGGGCATGTTTAGCCTGGAGAAGAGGAGGTTAAGGGGTGATATGATAGCCATGTTCAAATATATAAAAGGATGTCTTATAGAGGAGGGAGAAAGGTTGTTTTCTGCTGCTCCAGAGAAGCGGACACGGAGCAATGGATCCAAACTGCAGGAAAGAAGATTCCAGCTAAACATTAGGAAGAACTTCCTGACAGTAAGAGCTGTTCGACAGTGGAATTTGCTGCCAAGGAGTGTGGTGGAGTCTCCTTCTTTGGAGGTCTTTAAGCAGAGGCTTGACAACCATATGTCAGGAGTGCTCTGATGGTGTTTCCTGCTTGGCAGGGGGTTGGACTCGATGGCCCTTGTGGTCTCTTCCAACTCTATGATTCTATGATTCTATTCTAAGCCCAAGGTGCATTTCTTCCGTGTGTTTGGATGTGAGGCTTGGGTCCTTGTGCCAAACACAGAAAGGGTGGCCCTAGGTCCCAGAGAATGATCCTTTGTGGGTATGAGCCAGGGACCAAGTGGTGGAGATTTGCCTATCCAGAAGGCAATCAGTCTAGGATTCTAGTCAGCAGGAGTGCTGAGTTCTGTGAGCAGAGTGGGTGGAAATGCATACATGGGAATCCAGACATTCTTTCAGAGAGTCTGCTTGACTCTGCTGATGAAGGAAAGGTAGAAACTGATCCTGCTGCTGAGGCTTAGAGTCCCAACCCAGAGCAGGAACAGGAAAGGGCATCTCCTAAAGCTGTTAAGCTAGAGCCAAAGAGTGCTCCTCCTCACCCACAAGTCCAGTTGAGAAATCCAGAAGGCGCAGTAAGTCAGAGGGGAGAGCAAGGACACACTAGTTGGCCCTAGTGGGTCAGAGGGGGTACCTGAGGTTGTGCTGAGGTGTTCAGCTCACACTACTAACGGAAAACCACCTGAAAGGTTTGAGGTCACTAGCGTGTGGATTGGTGTGGCTGAGTGTGAACCAGAGAGTATTGAGGAAGTTCAGAAGTTGCCTGAAGAGGAAGCCAGGAAGTGGCAAGAGGCAATGCAGAAGGAAATGAACTCAATGGAGTCTCTAGGTGTGTTCTCCATCACGACGCTGCCAGCAGGCAAGCAGGCCGTGAGCAGCCGCCGGGTTTACCGTCTTAAACCCACAGCAACTGGAGAACCGCAGTACAAGGCTAGGCTGGTAGCCAGAGGGTTTACGCAGTGGAACTGCTGCCTTACACTGAGGTGTATGCTCCTACTTCCAGAAGTAAAAGTCTGTGCATGCTCTTAGCCATTGCTGCACAGAGAGGTCATCAGGTGCATCACTTTGATGTGGATGTAGCCTATTTGAACTCAGACCTCCAGGAGGATCTGTACATGCATCCTCCTCCAGGGCTTGAGAGCAATAGGCCAGATGCAGTGTGGAAGCTTCATAAGTCCATTTACGGTCTGAAGCAATCGGCCAGGAACTGGAACTTGTGTCTGAATGAAGCCTTAGAGAGCATGGGTTTCAAGAGGAGTCTTGCTGATAGCTGCCTGTACCTGAAAGTGCCAGGAGAGTCACAAGAGGTGGTCTTGATTTTTGTGGATGATACAATCTATGTGGCAAAGACAGGGAAAGAGGTTCAAGGGTTTGCCACAGAGCTTGGAAAACATTTCCAACTCAAAAACCTAGATCCAGTGAAAGTTTACCTAGGCGTCCAGATAGATAGGTCCCAGGACGGAAGCTTCTTGCTCTGTCAGAAAGGCCAGATTGAGCAGTTGCTTGAGAAGTTCAGAATGTCTGAATGTGCAGGGGTCAGTACACCCATGGAGACAAGCTACGTGAAAGACAGTCAGCTAGGGGGATGTGCCAAGTTCGAAAACACTGAGATCTTTCAGTCAGCTCTGGGTAGTTTGCTGTATCTCTCCCAGTGGAGCAGACCAGACATACGCTAGCATTTGCTACCAATCTGCTCAGCAGGGAAGCTACAAGGCCAAGTGTGAGTGCCTGGAATGGTATCAAGAGGATGCTGGGTTACCTGCAGGATACCAAAGATTTCTGTCTCAAACTGTCGGCTAAGGGTGAAACCAAACTTAAATGCTGCACTGATAGCGACTGGGCGAATCTGGAAGACAGGAAGTCTGTGCCTGGGATGGGAATAAAGTTTGGGGACACTCTAGTTGGGTGGAAGTCCCAAAAGCAGAGTCTCATTGCGCTTTCCTCTACTGAAGCTGAATTCAGTGCATTGTCAGAGCTTTGCAGAGAACTAGAGTTTTACACGTGTTTGGTCCAAGAAATCTGCGGGGATTGTTGTTTGCCCGTCACTGTTTGGGAGGATAATCAACCCTGTCTGAAGTTGGCAGAGTCTGGGCAGTTTAAGGCCAGAACCAAACATTTGGACATACGTTTCCAAAATGTGTGTCGGAATGTCCAGTCAGGCTTGGTGATGCTGAAGTACTGTCCAAGCCAGCAGAATCTGGCAGATGGGTTTACTAAACCTTTGAGTTTCCAGAGGCACAGTGAATTCTGTGCAGGGTTGTTTTGGGGGTAAGTGTTGATGCTTATGAGCCCCAGCAGTGCAGGACAAGAGGGGGTGTGAGGAGAATCAGAGCTTACAGGGTTAAAACAGCTGAGTCTTGTGTTGTGCCCACTGAGGGGTGGAGATCCCTACATCCGGGATCTCTTATTTGTCTTTCTGCTTTCGTTTTCTGACCAAGACAAAAGGAGTAGCGATATCTGCCGCTCCCAGAACGGATGATTTATTTTTGCTTCTGTACATAAATAAAGCTGCTTAGATTAGAAAGTGGCTGTGTATAGATGCTGTTTACTGCATGCTTACACACACAAGCACAAAGCTGTGTTTCTCTGCTACAAGTCCAGGAAGCTGAGTCGCAGCATAAGAGTATCGGACTCCACAGGCTCTGGATCGCAGAGCCTAACCCCACAGTTCCTAAGGGACCAAAAAGATAATTGCAGCCTGGATACACTTGCCCAATTCAAACTGATTCCAATTAGAATTTATATAGCCCCATGGTTCTCAACTTTTTTTTGAATATTTTTTATTAGGAATTTCAACAGCAATTTATAAAAAACACATCATCCTCATTCCCCCCATTTTCCCCTCCCCCCAGAAAGAAAACCTCCCTTCCCACATTATATTATGACCTATATCTTGTGCCCATTTAATCATGACTGATTTCACCTCTTCATCTT